CTGGGTCAATGGCATGACCTTTTAAAATATTTTTTCTAAATTTGGCAAAGCATTCTTCTGGAAAGAATTTGCCAGTTTATATTCCTCCAGGAGTCTAGAACATTCTTACCTTCAACTGCATCAAATCATATCATTTGAAAATTTCTGCTGATTTTATAGAAATATACTTGCATTTTACTTTAATTGTATTTTTTAATTACTGAGGTTGATTTTTTTCTATTACTTTTTTGTATTTATTCTTCTGTGAATGGGTTATTCATGACTTTTGCCCACTTGACTTTGATGGGTCTTAACGTTTTCCTTCTTGATTGATAAAGTCTCTTTGATAGCTTACTTTAACATTTTGACTATTGTATTGCAATCATTTTTAAGATGTTCTTTGCTGTTAAGATTTGATGTTTTTGGCATCTAAATAAATGTATTCCTTCTGTATACCTAGTGCACCATAGTCAACTGTTTTTCCAAAATTATTAATCATGTCACTTATTTACTTTTGTTTTAAGATATTTTCTATGCACATAAGAATATATAAACATATTCACAAAGAATGTGTAAAATGTATGTGAACTGTTTAAAGAACAACGATAAACACTCTAGTTTCCACCACTCAGTTTAGGAAAAGGAACCAATGCAACTACTTGGCCACCCCAGTGTGACTTCCCTAATCACACAACTCTCCCCCACTCCCCAAGGTAACCAGCCTTTTGACTCTGGTGATCATCACTTTCTTCCTCTTCTTTGCAAGTTTGCAAATATGTGTGTATTCCTAATTAATACATTGTTTAGTTTTTCTCGTACTTGAACTTTATATAAGTGTCAAACCACACTGTGCTTTTTGTCATTAATTTCTTTCATTCAACAATATTGTAGTTTTAAATTATAATGACATGTGGATGCATGTCATAATTCTTTTGCTCTGCAGTATAGTGAGTATTCCATACTGTATCTGTTCATTATATTCTTAATGACTATTTGGGTTGTTTTCAGGGTTTTTGTGGTCATTTTGCAATTACAGGCAATATTGCTTTGAACATTGTTGTAGATGACAAGTCTCCTAGAACAAATGTGTAAAAATGTCTCTAGGGAATATATTGAGGAGTCAGGTTGTTGAGTAGTGGGATATGGATGTATTCAGTTTTACTGGATAAACACCAAAATGTCTCCCAAAGTATTTATTCTAGCCTTCTTCCCCTCCAGCAGTGAACAAAGTTTTCTATTTCTTTCCTTGCACAGCACTTAGGGTTTCTGACTTTTTAAGTTTTACTTACAGCGTGAATACAAAATATTATTTCAGTGTGATTTTAATTATAACTCTGCTCATTACTAAGTGAGGTAAAGCACTTTTCACACGTTTAGAGGTTATTCATGTTTTCTGAGAAACATTCATATTCTTTGCTCATTTTTCTGTTTTTTAGAAAACGTTTTTCTAATTGAATCACAGGTGCTCCGTTTTTATTCTACTTGTTGTCATTGTAAGTGTCGCAAATATATTCTTATTTATGGTATGACTTTTTACTCTCTTTGTGATGTATTTTCATTGATGAACTCAAGTTGTTAATTTCACATAGACAGGTTTATCAATCTTTGCCTTTACGGTCCATACTTTTTGTGTTTTATTTTTTTAAATCTTTATTTTCTGAAAGGAGAAACTCTGATTCTTCTACACACTGACACCACTCCACTTCTGATACCAGATGCGTGGTTTTTTTCTCACACCAACAAATTCTCTGACACCAGCTGGGTGTCCTACAATTCAATTCAATTTTGACACCATCTACCTGGACTTAGCGTCAGATCCCACAGGTTAAGGGCTGAGTCCCACAAGACTGCCCCCAGCTTCAGATGCCAATCCTAAGTCTGGGCCTCCAGTATTTGTAATTGACCAGGTGTAAATCAGGAGTTCCCACAACCCCCTCCTCAGGTTGGATTATTTGCTGTGCTGTGATGGCACACAGATCTCAAGAAAATACTTACATTTACTAGTTCACATAATAAAGCATATAATGAAAGATACGAGTGAATGAACAGACACACGAAGAGATACATACTGTGATGTCTGGAAGGGTCCCGTCCCTGTGGAGTTAGGGTGTGCCATCCTTCCGGCAAGGAGATGTATTCACCAACTCACTAAGGGATTTAACCAGCATTCAATTTTTGTCTTTAAAATTACTGTGGTGATTAGCTTCTAAAATTTTACTTACAGTCATGAAATATTATATTAATACATTACTAAAAGTAAACCATGTTTATAATCTTAGCCTAGATCCCATTTAGCCTTAGTGAATTACCCTTTACACCATATTGAAATCTATTTGGTAATATTTTATTTAGGGTTTTGCATTCTACATTAGCAATTTCAGTGTGTTTTCTTTATTCAGTTTTATAATTAGGGTTGTACTACCTTCATCAGAAATGCTGAGTAGCTACCATCTTTCTCTGTACTCTAGGAGAATGATTTTTATTTTATTTTTTTATATTACACACAACAGGAAAACTAACAATGTTTTGTTCTGTTTTATTAGTAGATGTGTTTATGTGCTTATGTACAAGAATGGTAAGGAGGATGGGTGGGTTTGGGGCTTGGTTTGATTCACAATGATTTGGTTTCTTTTCACTTCTCCACTCTGCATTCTGGGGTGACAAACTTTTCAAGCTGGCTCCCTGCATGGCATCACATCTTTACAGTTCGGAAGAGAGAGGTCTGGCTTCTATAAGTTCTCATAAGATGGAGGTATCTTCTTTGAGAATTTCATAGAAAAACTGTCTGCTTTATGTTTCATTGTCTTGAATTGAGTCAGTTGTACTTTCTGGCCATGCAAATGCCATGAATTGATGGGCTTTTAGATGGGTCACCTGATCCAATCATGATAATAAAGGAACTTTGCCTTGATTAGTTAAAATAGAGTCCCACCCTGGATATACGGGATAAGCCACTTCTCAGGGCTGTTGATAGTGAGAGGGAAAGATAAGATGTTGGTGAGACAACCTCAATATTCACTGAAAAGACATCCTTTAATAACTTAAATTATCTAACTTTAAAACCATTTAGGGTTCTCCTGTGTTTCAAATATATTTTTCTATTGATCTATTTTGGTTTCCTATGTCTTATTGAGTCCATTTTGTAATTTGTTCCAAGTGTATCATTCATTTTGTCCTATCTTAAAATTATGTTAGCCAACATTTTGTATAGTGTTGCCATATTTTTAATCTGCTATGTGCCCCTATATCTATTACCATAGCCTTGATTTTCTTTTTGAATAATAATAATAATAATAGTGATGGCAATGTAGGTACTGCGCAAAAAGTTTTACATATATTATCATTTTTCTAATTGCTCTCATAAGACTTGTTACAATTTTGTTGTTTTTATCAATTTCTTTTTAAAGAACTAGCTCTTAGATTTGCTTATGTCTGCTGTTTCTCAGTTTCCAATAATTAATTTTTGCTGCATTTTATCATTTCCTCCTGTTTTCCTTAAGACTGCTTCTATATTCTTTTTCTAAATTCTTGATAATTAAAAATCATTTTTCATCATTTAACAGCAAAGTGTTAAGGATACAGATTTATGTATGCTTATATTTATTATGTAGATTTATAATACTTTTATTTAAGATAGTTTCTAAGTAGTTTAGTATTTTATTATGTATTTAAACTTTGACTCAATGGGCTCTTAGAATAGCAGCTTTCAATTTCTATGGTTAGGGCTTTGTAAAGTTATTTTTGAAATTTCTACTCTCTCTGAATCTTTTTTTGTTTAATATATAAATTTATTTAGTTTTGGCTGCATTGGGTCTTCATTGCTGCGTGTGGGCTTCCTCTAGTTTTGGTGAGCAGGGGCTGCTCTTCATTGTGGTGCCCGTGGGCTTCTCATTGCGGTGGCTTCTCTTGTTGCGGAGCACAGGCTCTAGGCACGCGGGCTTCAGTAGTTGTGGCTCGCGGGCTCTAGAGCACAGGCTCAGTGGTTGTGGCTCACGGGCTTAGTTGCTCCGCGGCATGTGGGATCTTCCCATACCAGGGCTTGAACCCCTGTCCCCTGCATTGGCAGGCAGATTCTTAACCCCTGCACCACCAGGGAAGCCCCTCTCACTGAATCTTGAACAAATAACGTTGGTCTGTACAGTGACTAATTTGCAGAACTTAATGCAGGTTTGTGTCCCAATAGACACAATTTTTAAGCCATTCCTTTCAGGCTTAAAAAGAAAGAATCATTTTTCAATTTGTGGTATATGAAATTAAATATATGTCTATTCACACACTTTTGTTAATTATGTTAATACAATCATCACTATTCATATATATTTTTGACTACTTCATTCATTATACAGTGAAGGTAGGGAATTAAAGCAACTCCATTATATTTCTTTCTATTTCTTAATTGATTTTATAAATTATAATTTATAAATTAATTTTAATTTATTTTAAAATTTAAAATAAATTTTTATTTATTAATGACAAATAATTGCTTAGTTAAATAATTGATTTCCTAAGTAACATGTGAACACACACTTGTATAATTAGCACCCAGGTCAAGAAATTGAACATTGATAACTCAGTCTCATGTTTCCTTTTAGTCACTAACCCCCACAGGTAACTGCTGTCCTTAATGCTAACAGCAGAGATAGGTTTTGTCTGTTTTTGTACTGTCTCGTGTCTGGCATCTTTCACTCAACTCTGTTTGTGAGATTTGTTCATATTTTTTGTGTGGAATGTTTTATAATACCATTGACTTGAATGCTAAAAAAAAAAAGTCAATATCGTGAGGCACTAGAGAAGCAAACATACAAAACTGAAGGATTATTTTAGAGTAAAGGAGAGTCAGTAGCTATGGCAACCAAGTGTATGATTAAACTGGAGAGTTTTGAATATGCACTGTATATTAGTTAATATTATTTTATCAATGTTAAATTTTTTGAGTGTGCAGTGGTCTTATGGTTATATAGAAGAATGTCTCCTTGCTCTTAGGAGATGATGTGATGATATATTTGAGTTAAATATTATAGGGTCTGCAAGTTACTTTACAATGGTTCACTAAAAGTAATATACATACACATATGTGTGTGTGTGTGTGTGTGTGTCTGTATGAAAATAGCAAGGACATGTGGTAGGATGTTAAACATTGGTGAAGGATGTAACAGTGTCATATTATTCTTTCAACTTTTCTATGGAGTTGAATTTTTCAAAACTAAAAAAAAAATGTGAAAGATAAGCATGCATTGTGATTTAATCCTAAGTTTTAAAATCTGAGAAGTACCTTTTCCACTGTGATTCCATTTCACATATGGGGAAACTGAGGCTCAGGGGAGTTTGGTAAATTGCCTAAAGTATGCTCTTTCCACGAAAGCCACAAGGATACTGTTGACTGATAGTTCAAAAAAATGAAAGCTACAAAACATCCTGGGATTTTATAGAAGATATGAACCTATCTACTCAGATACAGATCTTAGAAATGATGTTGAGAGAGTTTAAGTATTTGGTTCAGGGGTGTCAGAGCCTGTGTTAAAATCTTGGTTTTCTGGTCAATGCTATTTTCACTGTACCACCAAAAACTGAAAGTATTTGCAGGAAGAATTCTGGGCCGTGACGACAAAGTTTTGAAAAAGAAAAAGAAAAAAACCCTCAAATTCCTCCAATTGCATTTCAGGTTTATGTTTGACGTGTGACCACATGTCAGTCAGGCGTTTTTATTGCTTGAGTCAGGAGCGTTTTGTCTAACTCCTCTGAATGTGTAAGATCCTCGCTTTCTTTTCCTGGCCAGGTTGGGAACGTATCTTGGCATGTAGCAGAATTCCTGGATGTTTATTTCCCTGTCTTATGTAACAACAGTTTTGCTGAATCATTTACTTTTTCCCTTTGACAGAGTTTCAATGCTGTCAGTAGAGTATGCATCAGGGCAGAAGGGAATTATCATGGTGTCAAGCATTATGGGTAATTCCAAAGTAAATAGTTCTGCAGAGAGCCATGCTGACTTGCCTGAAGGCAGTGAAAACTCCAAAGGGAGGGCTTCCTTCTGTCTGGCTTTGTTAATTTCAGTTTAGTGTCTATTAGCAGGCTTCTTGGAAATAGGTATGTTGGACCCTTGACAGTCCTCTTGAACTTGAGAGCCCTATCCAGTCTCCTTCATCCGTTTCTCACAGAAAAGGTTTTTTCTATTTCTTTGTTTCCATTATCCACATCTTTCTGTTTACTTTTCCTTGGCCCCAGCCTTCCCTGAGAGGAAAGAGATGTTTCTGTTGTTCCCTTCCCACACTGAGAGCCCAGAGTTTGGGTTAGTCTTTTTTTTTTTTTTTTTTTTTTAATGAAAGACCATCCACAAAAATATAGCTAATCTCACCAATGAGAGATTTCCCCCATAAAGTCCTGTGTGATGTTATAGGGATCCGGGGATCACCATCTCAGTTTTGAGATTAGTCAGTGCTATGACCTGATCATACCATTTTTCATCACTAAATAAGTAACAGTGAAAAACATGAAAATATTCTGCCTTAATGTGTGGGCTTGATAGGTGTCAAGAAATTAGATTTTACTTGTTCATTCTTAAAATATAAAAATACATTCTAAAAGATACATTTAAAAAAAAACAAACCTTTAATTATCCAGTAGTTGGATAGGGATACAATTTATATAGTTGAACATTGCTTTGTTGCCTTCTCTTACATGATCTTCTTCAGCTCAGATAACCAAAACTAGTATTCTTAAAAAATAAAAGCTAGGGCTTCCCTGGTGGCGCAGTGGTTGAGAGTCCACCTGCTGATGCAGGGGACGCGGGTTTGTGCCCCGGTCCAGGAGGATCCCACATGCCGCGGAGCGGCTGGGCCCGTGAGCCATGGCCGCTGGGCCTGCGCGTCCAGAGCCTGTGCTCCGCAACGGTAGAGACCACAACAGTGAGAGGCCCACGTACTGCAAATAAATAAATAAATAAATAAAATTAAAAAATAAAAACTAAGTGAGATAAGTTAATTGATTTATCTAATATTAAAAGTCTACTATTTGATTGAGCTAGAAGTAAAACTAAGAATTTAAATATCTCAATGTCAATATGCCATTTTTTTCACTATATAGATAACATAATGACGCATTAAAGATAATTTGTAAAGTAGAAAATATTTAAAATATGAAAACATTACAAAAATATCACCCATGTCTCGTATTTGTTAATTCCCTAACTATATGCCAGCCATTGTTTTAAGGGTCAAAACTGCATCAATGAACAAAATAGAAAAAAATCCTTATTCTCATGCAGCTGACATTATAACTTGTTCAATTTTCAATATACATTGTATATTATATACATGAATATGTGTAATATATGAATCATATTGATTATATAAAGGTGATAAATGTTATTAAAATAGGTGAAGGGAAAGAGGGTTTGGGATTATCTGGGGAGAAGTAGGTGGGGGGTATTGCTGAGAAGGTGATATTTGGTTGATGATTTGAAGATGTGGGATAGTGAGACATGCAGATATGTGATGGAAGAACATTCCAGAAAGAAGAAGAGTCAGTGCAGTGGTGAGCGCATGTCTGGAATTCCTGAGGAACGCTAAGGTGGCCAGAGTGACTGGAGGGGGTTTGGTAGAGTGATGGGGTTGCTAGAATAAAATAGGAATTGGAGTTTTGTTGCAAAGAGGAATAGAAAAATGGGAGCATAGTCTGGGGCCTTTTTTGTTTTTTAAGGTGACACCAAGAAATCTTTTATTTTTATTTATTTATTTTTAAAAATTATTTATTTTATTTGTTTATTTTTGGCTGCGTTGGGTCTTCGTTGCTGTGCGCGGGCTTTCTCTAGTTGCGGTGAGCGGGGGCTACTCTTCGTTGCAGTGTGCGAGCTTCTTATTGTGGTGGCTTCTCTTGTTGCAGACCACGGGCTCTAAGTACGCCGGCTTCAGTAGTTGTGGCTCATGGGCTTAGTTGCTCCACGGCATGTGGGATCTTCCCGGACCAGGGCTCGAACCTGTGTCCCCTGCACTGGCAGGTGGATTCTTAACCACTGTGCCACCAGGGAAGTCCAAAATCTTTTATTTTTTAAGACAGAGTAATAATATCATTTTTATGCTGATAGGAATGATCTAGTAAAGAGAAACTGAGAATGTAGAAGAGGGGGCAAGAATTGTTGGATGGATGTCTTTGCATGGGGGTGAAGACAGGGAATCTAATGCATCCATGAAGGGATTAGCATGAGGCAGGGTCATGGAGAGTTTATTCATAGTAACACAAGGAAAGCAACGTGCACGAAAATAGATTCTTGAAGATGGGTAGAAGGGATCCTGAGGATTTTTGGAAGATCGCCTTTGATTGCTTCCATTTTGTCAGTGAAATTGGTAGAAAGATGATCAGCTGTGAATGAGGATGTTCCGGAAAGACTTGTTGGAAGTTTCAGGTAAAAGGAAAAGGTGAGAAATGGTTCAACAGGAGTCTGAAGGAATAAATGGGCAAGAGAAACATACTCTAAATTTGGCAGCATTTCAGCACTCATGAACGTTTTGGTCGTGAGTTGAAAGTGATACCGGACAGAAGGGTGATTATGTTTTCCCTTCCTATATTCAGTGACTTGGAAGGAAGCAGGTGGGGAAGAGGTGGTAAGGAAAGCAGAGCTGAAAACATCTACAAGTGGGTGATTATAATGGTTGGTCATAGGATTTAGACTCGGTAAGGAAAAATAGGTATATTCAGAAAATTGACACTTTGTTACATTTCCTTCTATCTTTTTAATGTACAGTATACGTCAGATTTTTAAAAATTACAACAATTATTCTGGATTGTGTTTTTTCAACATTTTTTTCATGGGCATTTTAACGTACTCTGGTTTCCCAATAGACTAGAGCAGGGGTCCCCAACCCCTGGGCTACAGACTGGTACCGGTCCACAGCCTGTTAGGAACCAAGCCGCACAGCAGGAGGTGAGCGGCAGGTGAGCCAGCGAAGCTTCATCTGCCTCTCCCCATCGCTCACATTACCGCCTGAACCAACCCCCACCCCCACCCCATGGAAAAAATTGTCTTCCACGAAACTGGTCCGTGGTGCCACAAAGGTTGGGGACCACTGAGCTAGAGTATATGTACAATTTCTCTTTTGGGGGCATTGAGTTTTGTGAAAAAGACTGCTAGTTTTCCTCAAATATTCTCCATTCCTTAATAGTAATAGAATCCCTTCTCCCACTTTGAGCTTGGTACACAGCCACAGAAATAAAAACTGTTTGCCAGCTTCCTTCTAATTAAGGATGGCCATGTGAGCATCTCTAGACAATCAAATGAATGTGCAGGGCATGTGTCAGTCATCTGGGACCATAACCTTGACAATGGACGCTACATGCATTTATGTTATTGAGAACCTGGGTCTCTGACACCATGGAGGTAATACCTTTAGCTAGAATAATTATGAAAGGGAATTAACTTTCTGTAAACCAATGTCATTATGAGATGTTTGGAAACAGATGAATTGCAGCCTCCCCAGAGTATGAAAAGGCAACATACCTTTTTTCCAGCTTGAGCATCCTGTTTCTTGTTTCTCTTTATTCCACATGAGATTATCTGAAAACAAAAGCAAAACAAAAAGCCACTACTTTAAAAAGGGCAAAGAAAAAAAACACCTGAATTTAAAAACTCTAAGGCAAGATGCCTGTAAAGTTCAGATTTGTGGCCCACCAATAATTAACATTGAGTCACAGATTGGCAGGCGTGTAGATCAGCACACTATCTGGATTCTTCTTTCCCAAGTCCCCTCATCTTGGATTCTGAATACAGGTGTCATCTAATTTTCTGTAGGCTTCCGTTAGTCTTACCCATACTGCTATCTGACAAGGATAAATCCCAAGTAAGTCAGATTTGCGGATTTCATTGACTTCACAGTTCATTGGCAGAGCAGTGATTCTTGAAAAACCTTGTAGTTAGTGAATCCCCTAGCACTTCTTGGTTCAAATCCTCAAATCGGCTTGCTTCTGAGAAGGAAATTCTGGTATTATTCACTCAAGTATCTTCAAGACTCCCTTTCCTATCTTTCCTATGTTCCTCCAA